GCACCGAGCGGCTGCGGGGCCGGGGCCGCCTGCGGCAGCTCCTGGCCGAGCTGCGCTTCCTCAGCCTCAGCCCCAAGGTGAGCCCTTGCCATTCCCTGGGATCCTTCCTGCAGCTTCAATATCCACAATCCCTCATCCTCGGGCTGTTTATTCCCGGTGCTCTGCTCCTCCCGTGCAGAACTGAGACCTTTTCCTGTCATTCCCCCCCTCCTTTGGCTGGGATGAGCTCAGGGATGGGCACTGGGATCCCCCAATGCCCCATTTGGGGTGCCAGGGTGGGGAGCTCAGAACAGCTCTGTGTTCTCCTGCAGTACCTGCTGCCCTTCCTGCTCAACCAGGCTGGATCCCTCCTCTTCTACCTCACCTTGGCCTCCACAGGTCAGTTCCTGCTGCTTTTTTTTTGGGGTGGTTTTATGAGGTTTTGGCAGGATTGGCACCATGGGTCGGTGACTCGGCCAAACACCAAGCAGCTCCCTTGGAATAATTACAAATAAACTGAATTTCTCCACTTGAAACTTGCATTTCAGACCTGTCCCTGGCAGTCCCACTCTGCAACTCCCTGGCTTTGATTGTGACGTTGGTGACCGGGAAAATCCTGGGAGAGGACATTGGTGGGACAAGTGAGTCCCACTTCAAGCATTTCCTCAAGAAATCACCTTTTATTTGATTGAGGTTTTGTTTTGATTTGATTTATAATGTGGAGGCTCTGAAGACACCAAACACACCACAAGGCTTGAACTGGGGCACAGCAGCTTTGGCTGCAGGACCTGAAAGGGAATTAAAACAGATTTTTGGGCAGGGCTGGTGAACTTAAAGCCAGAAGTGGCTGTTTTAAGCTAAAAAAGTTTATAGGCTCGAGCTTTTCTCTCAGGGGATATTTAGCCAGGAGAGAAACACTGAATAAAATGCCCACCATGGAAAAGGAGCGGCCCAAAAGCCCCCAGATGTCAACCTGCCCTGCTCAGGAAAAAACAGGACATTGGAAAGTTTAAAACTCCAGGAAAAACAGCTGGAGGTTGTTGTTTGAGCCAGATTCCCAGTTTATCCCTGTTAATTCCCACAGGAGCTGTGGCAGGAATGCTGCTCACCATCCTGGGAGTCTCCCTGTGCCTGGCTGGGTCCTGAGGGAGCAGCAGAACCTGACCCAAGGCACCTCCCCTCATGGCTCACCTGGGATGTCCTTTTGGGATGGCAAAATCCATGGATCCCTGAGCTCCAGGGTGCAAGGACAGGCAATTCCGTGCCTTAAGGGATTTTTGGTGGCTGTTTCATGGTTAAATTTGTCCTGTTCAGCACTTGGAGGGATAATAGATGGTCAATAAATCTTCCAGTGTGACCTCCTGGCACTGATGGGTTTTTGATTATCCCAAACTCTTCCAACCATCTCAAAACCCTTCAACCAGCCCCTCACTGAGCACAAACCCTTCTGACCATCCCCAAACCCTTCAACCCGCTCCTCACTGAGCACAAACCCTTCCAACCATCTCAGAACCCTTCAACCAGCCCCTCACTGAGCACAAACCCTTCCAACCATCCCCAAACCCTTCAACCAGCCCCTCACTGAGCACAAACCCTTCCAACCATCCCCAAACCCTTCAACCAGCTCCTCACTGAGCACAAACCCTTCTGACCATCCCCAAACCCTTCAACCAGCCCCTCACTGAGCACAAACCCTTCCAACCATCCCCAAACCCTTCAACCAGCCCCTCACTGAGCACAAACCCTTCTGACCATCCCCAAACCCTTCAACCAGCCCCTCACTGAGCACAAACCCTTGTGCCAAGCCAAAAGCAAACCCTTCCAGCCACCCCAAACCCTCCTGACCACCCCAAACTCCTCTGACCACCTCCTTCCTGACCACCCCAAGCCCTCCTGACCACCCAAATCCTTCTGACAACTCTTGACCACCC